TGTGAAACACCTAAGTCTTTAAAGTTTGTAGGTGTCTACCCAATTCATTGCATTTAGTTAATACAGAGATTTTTTTTTTACCATAAAATACACATTAATGCATCGCATATTCCGTTTTTCTCTCGAGTATTCGGAGCCCAAATCCCCCCCCCCCCCCCCACACACTTTTTTTTAAATCTGCCAGCAACGGGCCAGATGTCTTTTCACTTGTCAAACCCATTCCAACAGAAAACGAGAAAAGGGGAGAGGAATATTTGACTCCATGGGAGACCAGTTTTATAATTTTTGGCAGCYACACACCAGTAAAAAGGTATCTTGGCTGGCTTGGCTATGGGAGAATGTTGACAGCATACCAAACAACATGATCCTAATGAGTTGGAAAATCCCTGGCCCTCCAGAGGACTGTCCAGATGCTACCGTCATGAGAAATGCTACCGTTTTATTGAATTTACCCTCCTCATCCTCTTATTTAGCAAGGGGCAATGTTTCTTTTATAGTCATTAGGACATCCTAGGTGACATGAAGTGTTTTATCTCAACTGCAGTTATCCTGCAGTATAAAATAGGTTCATTTTTAAGTGTTTCCATTGACCATGTATAGTTGGAAAGTTAATGTTTTTATGATTTGCACCTCTGATAGAGTTTGTGCTTGAGGTTGAGAGGTACCAACTATTATCAGGATTGCCTCACTGCACAATGTGGGTTCTGTTGCCTATAGAGAAAGGTGACAAGCTGGTGAGAGTCTACTTATAGCCTCCTGGCTTGGCCCCCATGAACTGGAGTTTTTATTGGCAGATGAGAGAGTAGCTTCCCTGCGCCTTTAGGTGGGGGGACATGTTCCAACTGTTTGTGCCTATCTGCAGTTCAGAGTACCCAGCCTTTTTAGAATCCTTAGTGGGGAACTTGAAAAAGGCTCCAGCTGGGAATTCCATTATTCTCCTTGGTGACTTCAGTGCCCATGTGTATAATACAATATAACATGAAGGGGCGTGATTGGGAGGAACAGCCTCTCTGATCTGGATCCAAGTGGTGTTCTGTAGTTGGACTTCTGTGCTAGTCACAGTTTGTCCATCACAAACACCATGTTAAAACATATCGTGCCCAGAAGTGCACATGGTACCAGGACAACCTAGGCCACATATCAATGATAGACTTTGTAGTAGGTGTCATGTAATCTGCGGCCGTATATTTTAGACACTTGGATGAAGAGGAGCAGTGCTGTCAACCGAACACCACCTATTGAATTAGATCAGGTGTTGGAGAAAGATGCTGAACAGACCTGATAAACCCAAACATATAGCRAGGTTTTACTGGGAATGCCTGTCAGACACATCTTTATCTACCAAGGTCTACAGAGCATCAATCAAATCCCTGCGGAGGAAGGAGACAGGGTCATGGTTCATGGTTCCACTGCCCTGAACTGTGGCCACAAGGTTGTTGAAGCTTCATGTGGTGACCATGCTTGAACACAGTGGTGGACACCCCAGGTGAAGGAGGCTGTCCAGCTAAAGGAGGAGTCCTACTGGGCTTTGTTAAGCTGGTAGGACTCCAGAGGCAGTTGAAGGGTTCTGGTGGACAAAGTGGGCTGCAGCCCAGGACTCCAAAAAGATTCTGTCAAACCATCAGGCGGCTGAGGGAGGGAAAGTTGCAGATCATGGATAGATGGATGGACCCCTGGTACAAACTTTGCAGCCAAGTTGCCCATAACTCACTAGTTTCTTTCAGGATGACTTGTTTTCATTGAATGATTATCTGACTCTTGAGCTCAACCCTGAGAAAGAACAATAAAACTTTTCACAAGAGACTCGGATCTCTTTTAGTTGAAGCCAGTTCTATATATCTCCCCAGACAATTTCCCAGTACTAATCATCAGGCTAATTTTTAAAGAACTAAGCAAACAAAAGACAATTAATCTACTTCAATAAATCAGCATGGGTGAATTACCACTCGTCTAAAAAGAGAACATATGAGAATGCTTGATCTTTAGTTTTCGACTTAAATATGCAATAATCATTATTGTATTTTTAATAGAGCAGTTGCCATAGTTAATTTATAATTGCTACCCTACAGTAACAACTGCATAAAAATAATTAAAAACATATACCCATCCAAACACATGGTTTTTCTCCGCAATGACAAATGCGGACTCGTTCTTTTGAAATATAAACAGTAATCAAAGTAAATATAAAATCAAGTCACATACAAAAATTGTTAAAGTCAGTTAAAAAGTCTTGCACACAAAGAAATCAAAGCATGCAGCYACACCACTCACACAAAAAAAAAACAAGTGCTTTTTTATGTGCAAAAGAAACATGACTGAGTTTCGCTTTGTTTCATTATTTGAGCTTGTTTACTTGGCCAATCAAATAAACAGAAAAAAAGATGAATAATGAACTTGATTAGGCATGAGAAATTATTACAAAGCTGTCATTTTCATCAGATTAGCTGCCAACAAACGGCTGAAATCTTAGCTACGCAAGCAGCTTACCTGGAACATTGAAGACCTCATTGAGCAGACCTTCACCAAGGACCAGAGTGGATCCATTTACCAAGCTGTGAGTCCAGCTTTGATATATTGCTTGAAGCAGGAGGGTCTGGGCCCTTGTAGCTTGAACAGCAAAGTGAGGAAGTTCAAATATGCACTCGGTCATGGGAACCGACGTTCTTTTGCTCCTGCAAGAACAAGAACTGCATTAGATCAAAAACATGCATTGACAGAAAGGCTATCACCATTTTATATTAAAAAGTATTTGGAAGTTACAAATGAATGCAAATACTTAAAGAAAGAAGCACAGATGGAAAGATGTTCTTCACAGTTTCCACAAATCTATCAATTCACCATCACAATATAAAACAGCTCATTGACAGCATAAAGGGCCAAATAGGTAGAGCTACATTTCAACAGAAAAACTGGAGAAGTACCAGGTGAGAGCCAAGTTTTCCTTTGTTATTTGGCAGGTAAGTTTAGTTCACTGACCCTTCTCTCCACTTTGTCAAAACTGTGATGATGATTTATGTGAAAAGACGTACAACCCAGAAACCTGACCCTGAAAAAAAAGAAACCTCTGTGCATTTAACAATTCATGTCTCCAGTGTAGAGAGAGTTTGTGTGTGTTTGAGCATGACAAGATGAGCTGAACGTTCAGGGGGATGAGGTAACAGAGCCGTCCGATGCAGTCCTCCAAACCTCTGTCCATCAGAACCTCAACGGACCATGCTCTCATTTATCATCTGACATATACACAAACGGTTTGGGTTTTTTCCTCCCAAATTCTCTAAGTAGGCTACTCTCTTCAACCTTTTTCTTATTCCCTCCATCATGTCCAAACTCAAATGCATTTCTGGTTTATATCTATTGTCACACACCTCATCAAATGCACTGTATTTCTAATATATGAATCTCACCTCAAAGCACTTACTCTAATTAAACAATCCCTGACACACAGTAAGAGACATCAAAAGGATGTCTTTAATACACATGCATATTTCCAAACAAGGCATGGTGTTAGACAACACACAAGAGTGGTGGAGCACTTGTCATGATCAATGCTATTAATCTGACCTCCTTTATCTCTATTGTTTTTTCTCGCTCCTTCTGCTTCCCCAGGTCTCCACTGAAAAACCAAAGGGAGCCTGACATAAATACAGTAAAAACAAGTTTCCCTAATTTCTAATTTAAAGGGAACCTCAACTAGTTTTACATTAGACATATTTTTCAATGTATAAAAACAAAACAGACAACAGTATTTTTACAGACTTCTTTTTTACAGTTAAGATAAATTTTTATTAAATAATGTCAAATATTACAACTAGACGGGGTTCCCTTTAAAAGATTGAGGACTGCCAAAACACATCTCCAGATAAGTATGTGTATTTGTGTATATGCAGAACATTATGTGCAAACTTGACTACATATTGTAATGGAAGCAAAAAAGGTGCTGCCTTATGAGTAGAGTCTTCTGTGACTAATTCCAGGGAGGCTGCAGCATGTCAGAACTGAGCATCACAGCTCATTTAMTCACACGTTCATTATACTATGGTCCCAGTTCAGAGTGTGGGATGTGTCATAGGGTCCCTCTCTTCGCTCAGCAGCTCTGCAATCGTTTAACTCCTCAGCTACCCTCCCTCTCCTTCTCCAAAACTCTCTTTATCTTTCCCTTTCTTCTGCTTCTGGGTGGTTGAACAGGGTGACATAAGCTGTTAGCTGCACACAGGCAGACGCTGTGCTCAAAAAAGTCTGASGTCTCTACGAGAAGACAGAAAGTGAAAAATCTGATAGACACGAATGTAAGAACAGAGGGGGAGAACAAATAAACACACCAAGAAAAAAGACAGTCCGGATGTGAGCAATGAGACATGAATGCAATGAATTAAAATATTTTCAACTCCATGCTTACATGTGATGCATTTGGCTTCATGGTAAACTTTGCAATACTATGCTTTTTTGCTGTTCAATAAAAAAAACCCACTATTGCATCAATCAAAGTGATTTTTGTGGGTTATTTTCTGTGTTCAAATGTGTGCACTTTGAGCGCACATGTGTATGCACGCACATAAGTTATTGCCGTTGAACAAAAGACAGCAAAGACGACGCGGCAAAAACAATGTCCCCACATGCAGAGCAAATGTGCCGGCAAAGCCACTTCAATGAGAGGACTGGCAAGGGATGAAAGTTTGTTGGCTTTTTTTGAGTGTTTATAGCATTTAAGGGGAGCAGTCATGTGCATGTGGTCCCCTAAAACTTTAATTATGCACCTGTTTTTATTATAATATGCCCAATTCTTTGTGAACGGCATCTTGGATCTAGAGAATAAATGAGAAGCAGAAACCCTCATTAGGGTGTTTTGGGAATGCTGGATGTGAGGACAGCCAGGCACTCATCGGATTTCATTAAGTAGCTGGCACACTCCGTGTTCCTTGCTGCAGCATGGTAAACAGCTTTCTGGCAGGAAACTTTTCACTGTTACCACAGGCTCTGAGAGCAACCAAAGTATCTCTGAGGTCAAAACACATTAGTATTAGCAGCATCTCCTTCAGGGGTAAGAGATGACACTTTAACATACATTCAAAACAATTCAGCACAGAGCAAAATAAAAAAAATGTTTTTTGCTTTTACAGTGTAAAAGACCATATTGGACATCCAGTTTATAGCCTGAGGAGCTGAACACATAAAAGCAGTCTTCTCTCATAATGTAGAGAYGCAGCAGATTTGAGACCACAACCCATTCTAACGACTGCACAAAAGAAAACTCTTTTTAAGTTTGTGCTTTATTGAGTAGACTGATACTGACCACGCAGAGATTGTACCATAACTATTATTAAAACTGTAAAGCAAAAAAAATAAAATTAAATTAAAAAAAACAGTACAATGCATTTACCCCTGATCACAACACAATTTAGCCTTTACTCAGGGTATGATGTAATTCAAAATGATACAATCTTGTTTAAACACACTGAAGTTCAATGAAAATCAAAACAAACAAGGCCAGTGTGTCAGGTAATAAACAACGTTTTACTGTCAAATAAAACATGACTGCTCACAAAAAGGTACTGGAAAAGACATACAGCATCATTAWCAATATATACGAGAGTTTTCAGTATTTTAATTTTATCAATATTAAAACATAGAAAAAAACTTCTCAAACTTGATAACACCACTAAACTGCTGCTATAAGCTTAAACCCCCTCTGAAAGAAGCTGCTGTACATTGTAGAACCTTTTCTTAATTTAACTTATCTAGGTTAATTACAGACACCAGAGGAACACCAAAACAATCAATTAAGGACGGACACACTCGTCTGATAAATACAGGAGGTAGTAACTGTTTAGAGACCGGTGATAAGTTATCTGACGTTTCTTCGAATCAATCACTGTCAAACTCTACCTTCATTAACAAACACAAACATTACTTAACTTATACAGATGATCCTTTACTACTATTGCTTTCAAATGTTCACAACTTCTTTAGAGAAAATTTTATTAAAATGATGAAAGGGAAATGATTGAGAACTTTTAGTTTTTCATTTTAGAACAAAACAAAACAAAAATCAAAACTAAATGGATTAGAAAATAATTTAATTATCAATAATTCAAGTCTGATTTCCACAAGTGAAAAGAACTTATGGACCTTCGGGGTTTTGTCTACTTTAACAAATACTTACAGCATAAACAGTCTAGCATTTTATTAAATATATTGTAAATATAAAACGAATTAAAATGAATTAAAAAATATGCAAAATTATCTTAATTTTTACTTGAGGAAGCTTTAAAAATATTTAATAGTAAATCGTGCTATTAATGTAATGATATATATATCATGTGTGTGTGTATATATATATA